CCTTCTGTGATGAATCGTAGCATAAACGAATCACTCAGGACTCACTCAACTTCAGTCCTGGCTCACAGCTCCTTCTTCTTCTTGGTTGGCAACCAATGTTAAGGCGCATTACTGCCCCCTGGCTCACAGCTCAGTGGACATTTAAAAAAATATATATATTTTTTACTCTATAAAAATAGTTGTTTTTCTTTTTCAATCACTCATCTTAGCAGTAGGATATACATGAAAAGAGAAATAAATTAAGTTTGAGTGAAAATGTACATTTTTTGCACTCTCTGGGCAACTGCCTCAGTGACTCAAATGACTCAAAAGAACCCGATTCACTTTGGTGAGTGACTCATTGAAACTCAATTCAGTAAAAAGAATCAAATTTACCACCATTACCCCAGATCATTATGGCGCCCCCATGCAGGATGGTGCGTAGAAAACATCTCACGTTGGATCTGCTTGTCTTGCCATGTTGGAAACCATCAGGACCATCAAGGTTGCATTTTTTCTCATCAGAGAATAAAACTTTCTTCCACCTTTCAATGTCCCATGTTTGGTGCTTTCTTGCAAAGTCCAAACAGTCAGTTCTGTGGTGTTCAAGGAGACAAGGCCTTTGGCGTTTTTTGTTTTTGAAGCCCTTCAGTCTCAGATGCCATCTGATGTTAAGGGGCTGCAGTCAGCACCAGTAACAACCTTAATTTGGGTCAAGGATTGCCCAGAGTCTTGACAGACAGCCAACTGGATCCTCCAACTCAGTGCTGTTGGAAACTTTTTTGTCTTCCACTTGACTCTTATATTCCATAACCCATTAAAAAAATTCCAAATGACTGTCTTACTGCTTTCCACCTCAGATGCGATGGCATGCTGCCAGAGACCCTGCTTATGCAGTTCAACAACCCGACCACGTTCAAAAAGGGAACTTAATTTTGTTTTTGCCATCAGAACATCATAACAGTGTGACTATCAGACAGAAAATGAAAATGAATCCATATTTTTGCACAGATTTGTCGAAATGGAAAATCTGTAATTGATGTTATATAAAAATGCTATCATTAGTCTCATTATATATGAGCTTATTAATCAAGGCTAAACCATTTAGATCTGTATCTATAAATTACATAATAATAAGGCATAATGCTTTATAAATGAAGTATTCACCATTATCTCACTAATGCTTAATACAGTCCGGTTATGTGTATGTTTCAGTGTATAACTACCATCGGGTTAGATATTTAGCGAGGGATTGCAGATGAAAAGAAATAACAGTGTTTATTAATCTACACTGTGCCTGTTAAAAATAAACAAATAAAAATCAAAATATGTAATGTAATATAACAAAGTAAGGAATTTTTTTTTAATATTCATTTTATACTTTACACTTTCAATCTGAGTACTTCGGGTGTTTAAATTGACAGTGAAGTTTTTATCTATTTCTTGACATCCATAATTAAAGAAAATAAGATAGCTGACTACCAAACACAAATGACAGGACAAGCAACACCACTGTTCTTAGTGAGTCAAAGCCAAACTGTGTGATGGCGTGAAATTTGGAAACTAAACCTGGCCCCTCCCCTTCTGCATAAAATTTAAATTCCTCAGAAAGAAAACCACCTGCGTTCAGCAAAAACAATCAGGAAGATGTTGCAGAAACAGCTTGGAACAGTCAGAATAACAAAGCAGCCAAGCCTTATGGTATTAATTGCTCATAGAACAAGAGTTACGTCTGGTATCTCACAGCCGCAATGGATGTTTACACTGCACACGTCATTACCACTGTTTTGGCTAATGTGGCTGATTCCAGAGATATTTTTATATTTCTGCCCAAATCTGTAAATGTCTGCTGGGAAACAACCAGGGACACTGTTTATGACTGTTTCTCTAACACACATAAGTTTGGCCATAAACACACTCTGCTGGTCCATCCCCTGCAGCTATTTTTAACCTAAAGTCAACACAGCACCCAGTTTAATGACTCTGCTGGATTCCAGTCTATTTTACTCCCGTCCTGGTACAGCACTTACTACAAAATAACACTGATATGAAATTGAAATATTATTTTGATAAGTCCAAGCAAATAACTTGATCACAAATATACAAATCAAACTGAAGCCAAATTAACATCTTATTGTAGCTGACTTTGTGCATCAAGATCATGGAATCCAGTCTTCCATAGCAAAACTGCATCAATCACAGCTAGAAGATGTTCCTGGTATCAAAACATAGGTAAAAAATAATGGAAAATGTCCAATTTAACTTCGGCTAAAACATCCTTCCAAAAAAATCCTGGAAGCAGTGGTCTAAATCAGTTCAAAAAGATAATCACTTTTGGAGGTCGTATGTGCAATGGCCCATAACAGTATTTCTTAAAGACACACACAAACTGATCCACTAATATAACAACCTTTTGGTGTGTGCTGAGAGTTTGTTATGTGTGAACACATAATGACAATAAAAGGATACTTCTTCTTCTTCTTCTTCTTCTTCTTCTTCTTCTGGGTAACGATAATTGCAAGAAATTTAAGTTTGCAGCTCACCTCTCCAGGTAGAATGATGATTTATGCTCAGTTGAGATGCTTTTGGCCCATCACATGCTGTTCTGAACAGTGCTGAAAGGACAGAAGGAAAAGGTGAAGGAAGGAGTTGTGGAGCAGGATTGTTGGGTCTGCAGTTGCCATGCAACAATGAAGTTGGGCTGTTGCTGCTGTGTTTGTTTATGGTGTAAAAATAAACACGTTTTTACATTAGAAATGCTATTTGTCTTCCCTGTGTCCTTTCATCACACTTGTTACTTATTTTCCTCCCTTTCCTCCTGTCACTTTCACTTTCTTTTTCATACTTCTTTGTCATTTACCTTCCTGTTTTCTTACTGACATTCATATCTCTATTTCAATCACCCTCCACGCTTAATTAGTTGTTATTGTTACCTGGAATAACCTCTCCTCTCCTCTTCTCCCCTTCTCTCTTTTCCTCTCAGCCAATCTTCCAAACTTGGTCATGTTATTCGTTCTGCCGCCAAACACGGAGCTTTAAACAACATCCATCACACAGGAGTGGGCTCTGGACTTTACTCTGTTTCTATTTTAACTGGACTCGCTCAGACAGCAGCCATGGCTCGCTGCAGGAGCTACTTGCGAGGACTTGCTATCTGTGTTACTGTGTTGCTACTGGTAAGCACACTGCTAATTGTTAACTGCATGTTTGTGTGGGCTGTCGGAGGTGATTGGATCTTTAAAAAATGAAAAATTTAAAAAGGTAATCTTAAAAAATTATAATGGTCTAAAATCTTAATCTACTATTTTTGAAATACACAGTGTGTCATTCAGGTGTTGATTACATGTGCTAATTAATGAATTTCAATGTAACTACAGTCTTGTAAACAGAAGGTGAAAAGCAGAAACAGTATGTTTGTTTTTAACTTTTTTTCTTTTACTTATAATTTTGTAGACATGTAATTATTTTGCGTTGAGCACGTACAAAATTTCGTTTCATTCTGGGTTCAAATACATATTTGTGATAATTGTGGTAATAACTAGCAACTGCTTTCTGGTAGCAGGTGCAAGATTATATTTGTCTAATTTTTGGCAACTATTATATGTTGCGTTTAAATCCAATCAATCTTTATTTATAAAGCACTTTAAAATACCCAGCACAGGACCAAAGTGCTGTACATTAAATATGTTAAGAACAATAAAATAAAACAAAACAATAAAAATAAAACACATAATACATAAAAACTTAAAGCAGCCCTATATTTAAAACGAGAGAAAACAGCATAGAATCAACTTTTTTTCTTGTTTTTTTGGTGAAGTATTTGTTTTCATGTATTCTTAATACTTATCTAAACATTAAAATATTTTAGGTGGTGTGTTATGTTGCCAAAATCTTGCACTGTGTGGTACTCAAAAAGATTTTCTTTTATTTAAAGTAAACATTTAGTCTTGATTTAATCTTTTTACTAATAAATCTCTCTTCACTACACTAAAACACTAAAATAATGTGGAGGTCTTTTAGCAACAATTTTAGAACCTTCACTTTTTAAGTTCATAAGAGGAAGGAAGGAGGCAGGGGACTAGGGAGTGTCATAACCACGGTCTAGGACGAAACAACAAAGATCCATGAGTACATCAGGAAGATGGCCTCACAACTGATAGTGTGCTTAGTGAATACCTCAGGCAGCAGAAACCAGAGAAAGGAGAGGAGCAAGAAGAGGAACCATCATGGGAGGACAAGCCCCTGCATGGTATGTACCACCAGGAGATAGAAGAAGTGGCTGATATCAAGAAATCCAACTGGTGGTTAAACAAAGCTGGACTGAAAGCTAGCACAGAGCCACTAACCATGGCAGCACAGGAAAAAGCACTAAGCACGAGATCCATACAGGCTGAGGTTTACCAAACCAGGAAAGATTCCAGGTGCAGGCTGTGTAAAGATGCCCCTGAGACAATCCAGCGAATAACAGCAGGGTGCAAGATGCTAGCAAGCAGGGAAACACTGAATGCCATAACCAAGCGGGTGCCATACAGGAACATCTATGCAGAGTATAGCTTGGACATCCCAAGGTCAAAATGGGATACACCCCTAGGGTGGTTGAGAATGACCGAGCTAAGATCCTGTGTGACTTCCAGATACAGACAGACAAACCAACCGGGCATAGCAGTGGTGGACAACCAAAAGAAGAAGGCCCTCAGTGAAAGATGTAGCTATGAAGCTGTGAAGTACCAACAGCTGAGAGGAGCTTGAGAAGATGTGTAGGGTGAAGCCAACAGTGGTCCCTGTTTTCATCCGAGCACTGGCTGCAACAAATCCCAGGAACAACCTCTGAGATTTTTATCCAGATGAGCGCAGTCCTAAAAACAGCAAAGGTACTGTGGAGGACCCTCAAGCTCCCAGGCCTCTGGTAGAGGACCAAGATCGAAGCAATTTTTTATATATGCGAATACATTTGTGTTATTAACAGAAATTTCATTCCACAGCTAGGCTGATGATATACTGCTATATGTGGTCTTTGCTCCTGATAATTCATGACCAATTGATGCCCTCCTTTTTAGATATAGTTTTAGATTTATTTAGGGAAAACAACCACATCTTTAAAGGAAAATATTTTCAAAATGTTTCTTATAACTTTTAAGTAGCTCAATACTTTTATTGCTTATTTTAACTGTTATTTTATTTATGTCCATTTTTTCAGTGTCTTTGTGCTTTCTTGTGTTTCAGTGAAGCACTTTTATTCTTACAAAACATTAGATAGAAGTAAAGTTGACCAATGCAAATCAAAACTTTGTAGAACAGACGTTGTCAAAGATTATCTTTGAGGCCCCAGCGTTGTTAATATAGCTCTTATCCATCAGAGAACAGTTTCACTTTCCATGTTACATTATAACTTCTTATACAGCAAGTTCATACACTTTTAAACCTAAAAGATTTAAAAAGTAAGTTTTAAATAAAATGTGGATAGAAAACTTGTTAGAGGTTCATTTTGTCCATTTATAAAATCTCTTTTCCTTAATTTACTGTTGTTTATTCACTCATTTGTTCTTCATATATTGCCATCGTGTTTCCCCCCTTTGCCTTGAGTCAATGATTTTATCTGCTTTTTTATTCCTCCTGTTGTACTTCCCAACTTCTCTTCAACACCTGCAATCAAATTTAATGCCTAAAATGACAATCTGTGGTATGATTGTCATTTTAGGCATGATTACAGCAGCTTTTGTTGCCAGTTTGCAATAAATAGAGATTATTTCACAAACATGCTGGGGCTCAAACTCAGGAGCTTACTTGGTGCTCCACTAAGTTTAAGCAACATCTAGAAATAATAGAAATAAATGTGTGAGTGTTTTTATTGTTTTTTTCTGTTCATTTAAACTGCGTAAGACGAGTTGCAGAGAGAATATTCACTAAGTAAGCCAACAGAGGCTGGGAATGTGGAAGTCAAAGAATGAGACAACCATGAGTGTTTAAGGTGTAGTTGGACTGTTTTGGAAAGTTTCAACTTGCTGACTGTGAGACAGATTACATTTGTGATATAAAGCTGTCAGAGTTCCCAGTCTCTCTGGGGAAGAGAAGGCATTTCACAGGAATGTTTCTGCTGTTAAAGACTTCCTGATCTGTGAACCCAACCAACAGCCACTTTTGTGTAAACCAGTTTGAGTCATTGCCTTTTACTATTTTTATTCTTTATTCATTTTTTTATGCAGGTGTCTGGGTTTGTGATGATTGGTGCTGCTTTTTCCCCCATTGATGATATACCTGTTGCAGAGGTAAAATGGGATTTTTTTCACCACACTTTTTTATACAAGAATCAACTATGTAGTGAAACAGCTCTAATTTCACATTATATTTCCTCAGACTCACAGTTGACATTTTATAACACAACTTCTACTTTCTTGTAAGATTCTGGTGCATACATTATCCACAATGCAACTGTGAGCCTGCCACTTGTAATGTAGCTTGGACTCTAGCACTGATAGGAAGAAGATAGATCGATAGATAGATCGAGATAGATCGATAGATAGATAGATAGATAGATAGATACATACATACATACATAGATACTAATCAACGTGTATGATTTCCAAAGTTCTTTCTATTTTTTGCTAAAAACAGACTATGGTTAAATAAAGGCATATTTGAATATATATAATAATTATAATAATATAATTGTGTATTGCTGTGCTGTTATTAGTTACTGCATTTAGTAGTTATTTTATACATTTTCATTTTTACATATTTTATCTTTTATATTATTGCTAAATAGTACCCATCCCCCGTCATTTGGTTATAGTTTGCTTCCAAGTAGCCAGACCTTCTTGAAGTCTTTAGAGTGGTCTTTAATATAGTTTTCCAGGATTTCTGAGGGTCTTTCAAAGTTTTCTTTGGACACTGGCTGCTTTATCCTCACTTTCATTCCAGCCAGTATACTTGACAATTTTAGAGGATTGATTTCTTTTTTTAGCCACAGAAAACCAACTTAAGAATAATTCAAGCACAAAAAGGCACCTAACTCGAACAATGAATCAGTGTTATGTGACAATCAACTTCACCAATAAATTAATTTTCAGTAGCATCTTCAAGCACTTCATTACCGGAACTGCGTCACAAACATGTCACTTTTTCCTATTTCTTTTGTTGAATCTATAAAAATGCCAAAGATGGCACAGTTTTACAGACATAAAATGATATTTTTGCACCAACAAGGTGATTCCCAGAGAGCTAGCAGCTGAAAACTTGGCATATCTCAACATGGTGTGCTATGTGTCCTTAAAATATCTGAGGAACCTGGACAAGGAGTGGGCAAAAGAAGTGCCAGGCCTAAAGACTAACAACAGCAGATGAGTGGTATCTCAAAGTCATGTCCTAAATAGGAAAAGGACTTGCAAGGATCTGGCACATAATCTAAAAGATGCATCTGGACCTTCTGCTTCACACTGCATCACAAGTGTGTGATTGTGTGTGAATGGGTGAATGACTCTATGTCGTGTAAAACACTTTGGGGTCCTTAGCGACTAAGTAAAGCGCTATACAAATGCAGGCTATACCATTTACCATTTCTGCTGATCCTGTTCATTGCCTCATTAGAAATGGTCTCAGATACTGTTCTGCATATTCAATAGTTGTTATTATAAATATTTGTTATTTATTCCTTTTGTTTAGGTTAAATAAAATATATTTGTTGTCTGACGTTCTCTCTTTCAGTTGTTTGACCAGCTGTCCATTAGTAATGGCTTACTGGTCCTGCAGGTGTTTGGTCCACTCACAATGGTTTTGTCTGTTCTGGGCATATCTGCTGCCTCTTTGGACTACAAATCTTTGCTGTTGGTGGTGAGTAACACAAATTCATACATGTGTTTGTTAAAATAAGATAAGATAAGATGAGATAAGATAAGATAAGATAAAATAAAATAAACTTTATTAGTCCCACGCATGGAAAATTAGTTTTGTTAAAGCAGTAAAGCAGATAAGATAAGATAAAATAAATTTGTACATTTTTTCTATGTACAAAGTTGCATAGAAAAAATAGAGAACAAACACTGGAATAAGATATCCATAAGATACTGTACACAATAAAATAGAATAAAATAAAATACTATATGCAATCGAATAAAATAGAATACAAATGCTATATACAATTGAGTATAATACAACGATGCCAGAAAAAGAGTAACGCACTTAGTGTTGTTGCTATTGCACATGTGTGGATGTGTGTGTTTGGTCAGTTGAAGTCTTTGTTGTGGAGTCTGACAGCAGTGGTGAGGAAAGACCTGCAAAATCTCTCCGTCCCACACCGTGGGTGACGCAGCCTGCCACTGAAGGAGCTGCTCAGTGCTGTCAGAGTCTCCTGCATGGGGTGAGAGATGTTGTCCAACAGGGATGACAGCTTAGCCACCATTCTCCTGTCACTCTCCACCTCCACTGGGTCCAGAGCGCATCCTAGAACAGAGCTGGCCCTTCTGATCAGCCTGTTCAGTCTCTTCCTGTCACCAGCAGAGATGTTGCCGCCCCAGCAGACCACACCATAAAAGATAGCTGAGGCCACCACAGAGTCATAGAAGGTCTTCAGGAGTGGGCTCTTCACTCCACAAGTTCAAATGTAGCATCTTTGTGAGGATCCTAGCTGATACAAGTATTCCCAACCCCTAATCCCTAATTGCATATATACGAAAACATAATTTTAACCCAAATTCTAAAGCTAAGTTTGAAGCTGCTGTCCCTAAATGAGGCTGACCCCCAAATGCCCCTGTGTTCCAAAAATGTCCTCACTACAAAGGTTATTGGTCCAAAGTGGTCCCCCAAAACGTACACATACAAGTACAAACACACACACTAGAGTAGTGGCATTAACCTGTAATCTTTTTTCCAGTTTTCTGCTCTGACATTTGTGGAGTTTGTGGCACTAATGATCGTTGCCTCACCCCTGGTTCAGGTTCAAGCTCAGGTAACTACCTGTTCATTTCACTTACTGTATTTTTATACAGTCCTTGCTTTCTTGTCACCAGTGCCCCCTGGAGGTATGCAATGACTATGAAATATGAAACCGTTATCTTTGGGCTGTAAACTGACTAAATAAGTAATAAAGTAATACAGATGAAAGTTAATTACTCTTAAAACTCTGCTTGTGTTTGTGTATCACTCTTCAAACGTTTATATTATTTACTGTAGATGGACTTTGCCGTGGATGAATTGTTTCTCAATGTGACACCCCTACACAAAGCAGCAGCTGACATCCAGAAAGAATTAAATAAGCTTCAGACATCGGTAAGTGAAACAAAGAAAAAAAATAAGGATAAAGAAATGAAAAAGTGATATAACTTTTTAGTTTTTCCTGTTGTCCTGTTGTCATAGCAACAACTATGACCTAATTTTATAGACATATATGACCTGAATGAGTAATTCAACACCAAGACTAATGATAACCTTGAGCTTTAACTGATGATAATATTTGTGTGTTTTCAAGGACTCCTGTTGTGGTTTGAGGAAATTTGAAGACTGGGATAATCAGCTTCCTTTTTCCTGTATCTGCACACCTCCTACAACCACCTATACCAGTGAGTCAAGGTATGTTAAGACTGGATTTTAGATAGATTAGCTGAATATTGAATTGTAGAGTCATTTTTTATCAAATTTTTTAAAATAATTTCTATTTCATACGTTTAGAAAATGTGTAATTTGCTTGAGTTTTTAGCTGTTTTTCAGAATAAGGTAGGGTACACCCTACAATATAGGGTCACAACAACAGAGGCGACTGTTGTTGTGATTTGCCACTGTATAAATAAAATTGAAATGAACTGAATATTTAAGTTTAATACATTTTTAAATTATTTAGCTGTCGATCAACGTCCCTACCCTTACCTATGGTAAAGAGCTGTGGGTAGTGACCACTCCCCCTGCGGCCCGGCCCCAGCGGAAGAAGATGGATGGATGGGTTGTCTTGGCTCTTAAATTTTGGCTTTCTGTTTTTGCCCACAGATCTCAGCCTGGTAATTCCAGCTCATATGAGCCTTGTGTGATGGTGGGAAGTAACCAGCAGTTTGTGCACTCCAAGGTAAATATTTGCTTCAGGGTTTTCTTCTTCTTCTATCATTAATTTTCACACAGTTCTACTATTTCCTCAGCATCTTTCTTTCTACAATTCTCCAGTGTTTTCTCCCTTTCTCTGGCTATTTTTTCTTTTTTCTTGCTCTCCTTTACTAGTTTTCCTGATTATCCTTTTTTCTTATATTTTGCTCTATTTTACTATTTTCTATTATACTTTTAAATTTACATTTTCCATCTTCCCACTGTACATCTTCGATCCAGTGGCAGTCTGCTTTAGTCTTTCTATTCTTTAGTTCAGTTAATCTTTTATAATGTTGTTTAGTTATAAAGACAAACAGAAGCAAATAAACGCAAAGGGAAATTTGACTTATGTACGCCAAAAACAGACGTTTTTTTAATCATGTTGATTCTTCACCTTTATATTTTTGGCAGCCCTGTGGTCCCATCCTAAAGAGCTACCTGAGTTTCCCAGTCAAGCTCAGAATAGGAATCATTTCAGCTTTCGCCACCATTGCAGTAAGAAAAAAAACACTCAGCTTTTTTTTTTATCTTACTTTAAAACCAAGATCCATATCTTTTTTTTTAATATATAAAGAGTTGAAAAGAGAACAAACTCCAGCTGCTTGAAGAAATTAACAAATGCATGAATGCAAAAATTCTAAAATCTAAAAGTTATGATTGTAGATATGTTTGCATGATTGAGGAAGAGGCTATATGGTTGTTCTATACCCATATAAACGTGGTTTATATGGGTATAAAAGGATTAGATGAGAAATTTAAGTTCATAGAAGTTCCCAAGACATGAATTTTAATTTCTGGAAATGTCTAGTTTATATATCTGCTTGTCTAGAATTTCTGGAAGAGTTTCTCTGATAGTGTCCATCCATTCTAAAACACTGGAAGTTTCAAGAAAAGCTTTTACTCTATGATTTCATTGCAAAATTGATTGTTTGGAAACAGGTTGACCCTAATGGTCCA